ATTTTTTTTTTTGAGATGAAGTCTTGCTCTGTCGCCCAGGCTGGAGTGCAGTGGCAGAATCTCGGCTCACTGCAACCTCTGCCTCCCTGGTTCAAGCGATTCTCCTGCCTCAGCCTCCTGAGTAGCTGGGATTATAGACATGCACAACCACGCCTGGCTAATTTTTGTATTCTTAATAGAGACGGAGTTTCACCATGTTGGCCAGGCTGGTCTCGAACTCTTGACCTCATGATCTGCCTGTCTCGGCCTCCCAAAGTGTTGGAACTATAGGCATGAGCCACCACACCCGGCCCACCAATTTTTTTTTTCTAAAACTTACTCATCTTTATTCTAGAAAGTTATTGGTTTCATTTTCTTACATATAACCATCTTTGAACCATCTGGAATTATTTTGGTGTTGAGAGGTAGGAATCCAGCTTCTCCTTGTAAATATTTATTGAATGAATGAATGAGACATTCTGCAGCCCTAAGTGAAGCTGATGGCCTCCTAAGGGATTAGATTCAATGGTTAATAAAATTGTTTGTTCACTCTACAAATATTTTTAAACTGCATGCCGGCATGGCAGAATGCAATGGTGAATAAAATCAGATAGAGCTCCCACTCTGTGACTATTACAGTTGACGGGACAGGCAGACATTAGACAGATACTACAAATGGATGTAAAACTTACACAGGAGATATGTGCCCTGAAAGAGCATATTATTAAGGAATCTAGCCTAGACTGGGAGGTCAAGAAGGTGTCACTGGTTAAGGAAGTTCCTTGGGAAGTGCCCTCAGGACCAGCACCTGTGAGAGGGTGAAGCTGGCGGGCCTGGCCAGACAGAGTGACTGCACTTCAGTTGCAACTGAGGTCTTAGCAACTCCCGCAGGGAGCTCTGGAGGGTGGATGACCCTTCAAAGTTGCAGTGAATGGAGGCAAGGGGTATGAGCTTTTATTGCCCACCCCATCTCCCTGCTCCAATGAACTAGACAATGGAAGTAGACTATCCCCAGGCAGCTCCGTTCAGCCAGGGCATTTCCCAGAGTAAAACTCATCTGCCAGCATCCGCCTCCAAGTCTCCTAGCAGCCAGAGAATGAGGGCCCTGGTCCTGAAGTGGATGTCTGGGTGGCAGGTCACAGCATCCACTACAGAAGTCTTCCATAAAGTAGTTGGGGAGACCTTGAGTATAGTACTGATGGGTAAGTGGAAGTTAACTAGGCATAGAGAATGGAGACTTTCTCTAGGAGCAACCTGCTTTGTCTAGCACAATGCCAGGAAAGCCTTTGCATGGCAGGCAAAGGCAGGAATGGGGGCAGAGAGACTAATGAGGAGGCTGCTAAGGGAATTTAATAGAGTACATTCAAATCTGAAGATGAGCATATACAAAATTAGACAGAAAAGCAAAGTTTCCTGATATCCCCAGCCCTCAGAGACCACAACTATTAAGGGTTTTTTTGTTTTTGTCTTTTGAGACAGAGTCTCGCTCTGTTGCCCAGGCTAGAATGTAGTGGTGCAATCTTGGCTCACTGCAACCTCCACCTCCCAGGTTCAAGCAATTCTCCTGCCTCAGCCTCCTGAGTAGCTGGGATTATAGGTGCCCACCAACATGCCCTGCTAATGTTTTTTTTCATTAGAGACGGGGTTTCACCACGTTGGCCATGTTGGTCTAAAACTCCTGACCTCGAGTGATCCTCCCGCTGTGGCCTCCCAAAGTGCTGGGATTACAGGCAGGAGCCACCATGCCCGGCCCACTGCATTTCTTTTCCATCTTTCTTCTCTGCACATTTTATTTAAAAGCGAGAATTTTATTATAGATGTGATTGGTTTTACTGCTTTTGTCTACACATTTTTTTCTATACCTTTACTGTTTCTGATCACAAAGGCAACACCTGTCAATCACATAAACTCAGAAAGCACAAATTTTAATAAAGAAATAAGTAGGCCGGGCGTGGTGGCTCACACCTGTAATCCCAGCACTTTGGGAGGCCGAGGCGGGCGGATCACAAGGTCAGGAGATCGAGACCATGGTGAAACCCCGTCTCTACTAAAAAATAGAAAAAAATTAGCCGGGCGCAGTGGCGGGCGCCTGTAGTCCCAGCTACTCGGGAGGCTGAGGTAGGAGAATGGCGTGAACCCGGGAGGCGGAGCTTGCAGTGAGCCGAGATTGCGCCACTGCACTCCAGCCTGGGCGACAGAGCGAGACTCCGTCTCAAAAAAAAAAAAAAAAAAAAAAGAAATAAACAATACTTCCAACCAGGCGCGGCGACTCACGCCTGTAACCTGGCACTCCATGGGCTCCAGAGCTCCCGTGTCGATGGTCCAGCCCAGTGCCTGGCATGCCGAGAATACCTGGAAAATGCCGGCTACGCACTGTCACCTTGGGAGGGTCTCTTTTATTTCCAAAGCTGTCTTCTGCTTAATGAAATGTACGCAGACACTAAGCAAGTGTGTATTGAATTTCTCATCTTCCAGACACCAGAGACACATCTATAGACTGACTGAGTTCGCTGCCCTTGTGCTGCACTCCGCTTGAGGAGACAGATGATGGTGTCATGTAAGGAGCTAAAATGTCCTGAGCTGCGAAGGTGGCACGCAGAGGCTGAGGGATGGAGGGGGCAGGGTTGGGGCAGGTGGGGGTGACCGGGATGTCTAGAGCCCAGGGCTGGGGCCAGACCCTGCACTGCTCTGCTTGGGGACCTTGCTGTGCTCTGAGTCATGAGGGCAGACAGTGGCCAGGGTGAGGCTGGCACAGTGCAGCCCTTTCCCCACTGCTGAAGCCCGCCTTCGTGGAGTGGAAGCACAGGCTATGGGGACTTGAGAGTCATCCTGACCCCAGGGGTGGTTGTTTCTGGAAATAAAAATCCAGGGCTTATGCTCCTGGGACAGGGAAGCCCTGGGACCTCACGTCCTCCCCATGGCCTTCGCATTGGGCAGTGAAGGTATCTTCCTGTTGAGTCTGAGGGAGGGAGAAGTGGTGTCTCTCAGGGAGTCAGCTTTCATCTCACTTAGTCCTCCCAGTGGCCCTGCGAGGTAAGGACCGCCAGCAGCCCAGTTTACAGATGAGGACCCTGAGGCTCAGAGAAGTTACATGGTTTGCCCAAAGGGACACAGCTACTAAGTGGCTGAATGGTACTGAGCCCAGGTCTTTCTGAGACAGCCCAAGCTGTGGACGGAACGCTCCAGCTCACGGATGAACAGGTGAAGTGGAACAAACATTTTAGAATGATTGGTAATATTCACCAAAGCTAAACATTTGCCTCCCATGAGCTAGCAATTTCCTTCCTGCACGTGTACCTTACACAGATGTGTCTATACCTTCACTAAAATACAGGTAAAACTACCCTCATAGCAGCACAATTTGTAATAGCCTCACACTAGAAACTCCCCAAATACCCATCCCAGAAGAATGAATAAAAAATCATGGGACATTCAAGACTAGAATACTAACAGCAAAAAAAATGAATAAATTGTGGCTACAACATGAATGAATCTCACACAGCTCATGTGTAAGTGACAGAAGTTAGACCTATAAGAATAGGTCTACAAGAAGAAATAATGTGTGATTCCATTTATATGAAGTTATCAACAGGCAAACTAATCTCCAGTAATAGAATTTACCTCGGGATGGCGGTGCAGGGAATTGAGCGTTCTGTGGGGCCTGAAATGTTTACAGTTGCCCCTCAATGTATGTGGGGAATCAGTTTCCCCATCTCCCACAGATACCAAAGTCCCGATATAAACTGGTGCAGTATTTGCATATAACCTAAGTACATCTTCTCGTATGCCTAAAATTATCTCTACTTATGCAATCAGTGTCAGATAACGACATTTCAGTCCATGCCAGAATGCATATAGGATGGTGGTTCCCATAAGGTTATAATGGATCCACCCTATACAGGTGTACCATCTCTAAAAATTGATATTTAAGAAGAGATGGGGCCTTGTTATGTTGCCCAGACTAGTCTTGAACTCCTGGGTCCAAGTGATCCTCCCACCATGACTTCCCAGAGTGCTGGGATTATAGGTATGAACCACCACACCTGGCCAGGTGTACCATTTTTTATTGTTTACACTGTATTTTTATGATCCTTTTCTGTGTTTAGGTACACAGATAGCCACCATTATGTTACCATTGCCTACAGTACTCAACATGGTAACATGCTGTAGAGGTTTGGAGCCCAGGAGCAATCAGCTCTACCATTCAGCCCAGGTGTGTGTTTGGCTGGACCACCTGGAGGAAGCTAAGGCGACACAAACTAAAGGCAGAGGGTGAGTCAGAGGTGGGATCCCTGGACAGGTATGAGAAGCTAGGCAAAAACGGGTGAAGTCTGAATAAATTTCACCCTATTCATATAATTACTGCATTCATAACCTTAGATAATAGTTCACATTACCATTTAGTTAATAGGATTGCACCAATGTTAAATTTCTTATTTTGTTTTTATAAGAGACAAAGTCTCACTCTGTCACTTAGGCTAGAGTGCAGTGCTCCCTGCTTCCTGGAACTCAATTGCTCAAGCGATCTTCCCACCTCAGCCTCCTGAATAGGCGGGACTATAGGCACACGCCACCATGCCTGGCTACTTTCTTTTACTTTTCTGTAAAGAAAGGGTCTACCTGTGTTTCCCAGGCTGGTCTCAAACTCCTGGGCTCAAATGAACCTGAACCTCCTGCCTCGAACTCTCAAATTGCTGGGATTGCAGGCATGAGCCACCACACCCAGCCTCAATTTCTTATGTGCCATGGTACTGCAAAACGTCCTTATTGAGGGCAGCTGGATGGAAGGTGTATGTGTAAAATCATTTCAACAGTAACATTTATTTTACAACATGAAGGTGGTTACCCTTCCATGAGTGTAAAATACAAAGGCAGGCTCATGGTGTTGTCAGAAGTCAGAACATTGGTTTTGGGGCAGGGAGTGCTGGGAAGGGCTGGGCATGGTTGGTTTTGTGATCTGAGGGCTGGTGTGTTCCATCTCTGAATGTCTTTTGAGCTATGCACTTACCCATGATGTAAGTCATATCTTAATAAATTTTCATAAGTTTAACAAAAAATAAAACGAGGATGGGAAACTTGTTTGGGACCTCGGGTGCTTATCCAGCCATAAGCCCTGGCCCAGATGCTGCTAGAAGCCTGGAGGGAACTGAGAACATTCAAAGTAGAGGTGGCAGAGCCAAGGCCCTGAGGTGGGAGCACTGCTGCTTGTCCCTAGCTATGAATGGGGGGTCCTGCTCGGAGGCAGTGCTGTGTGCACTGCAGGGCCCACAAGTCCATGTCCACATTGTGGCTCAGTGCAGAGAAAGCCAATCTCAACCCCTCTGTGGTGTGGTCAGCCTGCCAGCAGGTGGCCAGCAGATCCTCCTGGGAAATTGTGCCATCCCAGAGACTAGGTGTGAGTCTCTCATCCACAAATGTGGTGCTCAGCAGCGGTGTCAGCCTGGTGAGCCTTGGTAAGGGCATGTGCAGGATGCTGAGCCTCTTCCATCCCCATGCCGGTCTCAAGGCCACCTGCTCCGTGGGCCCATCCAGCAAGTGTGGTGGCTTGGAAAGAAGCTGGCTGCATCCACAGGGCATGCTGTTTTGCTCAACTCAGGACCAACGTCATCCTCCATAGTAATTCTCTTTGGTGGGAGTACTGGGAACATGAATAACAGATACCTTCAGAGTCTGAGCTGCTGAGGCCAGGGCTGCAGGGTGCCCTCCTGTCAGGAAAGCCTGCACTGGCAACTGGAAGGCACCTGGTAGCGGCGCCTGCAGTGGCTGCCCCAGTGGCTGCAAGGCTTCGGGACTTGCCTGGCTTCTGTGAGGTGAATTGTGACAGTGGCAGAGCTCTGCAGCGCCAGGGTCCCCTGCATGGCCATACTGACTGCAGCTGGGAGCCCACCACACCCCTGGTGCCCCTCTCTTCCCAGGGCTGGGGTCTAGGCCAGGCCTCTCTTGGCTTGGGAATTGTGCCCTGGGAGGGGGACACAGGCCCACAGGTTGGGACAGAGGTCCCAGGGCATGCTGCTGGTTGGCTGGGGCTCCCATGCTCACCTCTCTGTCTCTCGTGGCCTTGATAGGACCAGCCTCCCCATTGAATGGGATTTTCCAAGGTGTCTAGGACTTCGGGGCAGCTGGCGGGGTGCCACCCTGGCTCCTTCCAGATGTGCCAGTCACTGTCACCGAGAGGGCCAGATGCAGGTGCCCATGTTGCAGTGGGGTTATCTCCCGACCTCCCTCTTAGTCCTGATGGGCCTGGGCTGGGCCCAGTGTCAGGGTCCCCCTGGGTTTCCTGGGCTAGGCCTGTCCCATGGTCCCGTGGCTGCCCAGGACACATTCAGAAGGGAGATGGACCCAGCAGCTCTGTTTGAAATCCTCATGGGGGAACCAAGGGTCCCCCACATCCAGGTCTGTCGGGAGCTGGGGCATCAAGTTCCACTCCAGGAATCTCCAGGAACGCCGAAGTCCTCCCTGAACCGGGGCCAGGCTGGGCATGTCCTGACTCCCGGGTGCCCCCAGAGAGTGGTCTGCTGCCCTGGGCTCCCCAGAAGCCCCCTCATGTTCCTGGGCCTTGGCCTCATGGACAGCCCCACTAGGAGAGGGTGTGGGACGAGGTAGGGAAGCTGACAAAATGGGCTGCTGGAACTGGGCTGGTGGGCCGGGAAGGGCCTGCCTGTCCCCTTGCAGAGGGTCTTCCTGCCACGTGAAGCTGGCACAGACCTGGGTGCCGAGGACCCTTGCTCGGGTTTGGTTGAAAGGAAAACAGACGTGGTCAGTGTCTCCAGTGAGCCCATGCAGGCCTTTCTAGGCAAGCCCCACCTACCTGGGTCCCTGGAGTCCTCAGGGTCTCTGTATGGCCGCCGTGGTCTGACACTGAGGACATGCCTGTAGTCTGCTGATCCCAGAGGAAGGGGTGTGTGCCGCCTGGTGTGGGGAAGCTGTCAGGGCATGGCAGGTGGCTCCTGGGACTGCCCCCAGGGTTCAGCCTGGTTGGGGGCTTCCTGCTACACAACCTTGTCCCAGGGCTGTTGGGCCTGGGATATGGCCCCCAGTCAGAACTCAGGTGGGAGGGGCCTTGGCTGTCACCCAGCCCCCTTGCCACCTTATGTGGGGACCTGTCTCCTCAGTGGGTGACTGGGCCTGGGCTCTGCCCTCTGCCCTCTGCCCTCCTGGGCTGCCCCGTCCTGGGCTGACCATTCCCACACCTGGCTGAACTCTTGGCTCTGGCTCTGGGCCCGGGGTCCCACCTGTGCCCTCTCTCTGAATGCTCTGGGGGTCAGAGACACTGATTCCCTTGTCTCCCTGACTCAAGGCTTGTTGTCCTGGCACCCGTGGAGGGGTCTGCAGGAGTGAGGGGCCTCTGCTGCTCTCTGAGGCTGTCAGCGCTTGCAGGGAGGGGCAGAGGCTCTCAGGAATGGGTCTGGCTCCTCTAGTGCCCTTGAGGGCCCTGTGAGGGAGACAGCGGGCCACCGTGGCAAGTGGGAGGGGGCTTGTTGGAGGGTCTTGCCCACATCCCCCTCCTGTGTGCACAGCATGTCCAGTACATACTCACTGAGCGCCTGCCCTGAGGAATGGTGGGCCTCCTATACTTTCTTAGAGTCCAGGAGGAAGAGGAGGAAGAAAAGGTGAAGAGGAAGGCCCAGGTAGTAGGGTTGGGGGTCCTGGGCACTCCCCTAGTATTGACTGCCCCAGAGGGTGACTCAGGAGGGGACCTGGTACTGGAGCCCACCTGGGGGTGGCAGGTCCCCATGCTTCCTTGTTAGTTTCTTCATAGAGGCCCAAAGATGATTAAGAACAGTGTCATCATCCAGGGCCCAGGTATGAAAGAACTGGTCTCGAAAACGTGCCCACAGGCCAGACCTGGACGTCTTCATGTGGCGCTCTAGAGACAAGGTGGGCATAAAGCCAGGAGAGTCCCCTGGGAAGGGTCAGAGCCCACACCCCATGGCCACTTCAGTCTCCCACTGGGCAGTGCCGGATCCTTTTGTGACCACCCCAGGGGTCCAGATGTGCACAGGAGGCTGTGGTTGCGGGAGTGGCCTGGGTAGGGAAGTGCTCACCACACTCCTGACTTTCATCTGGGTCGTGTGAGGGATGGGCTCGGTGTCACCGTGCCCCGCCCAGCCCACCTGGCCAGACCTCCCTCTGGGCCAGAACAGAGGATCATGAGGACAGTGTGAGGAAGTTGCCCTTGGGCTAGTTGGAGTTTGACCCCAGTGCTCCCCAGATCCCATTGGGCACATGTGGACTTACTCCTCTGAACCTTAAAGGCAGTGCTTGTTATCGGCATCAACATCTGTTCCCCTTCCAGCAAATATATGTCCCACAGGCGCAGGATGAGCCCGAGAAAGATCTGTGGGGAAAGTAGACACGGGAGGACCTGGCTCTTCCAGGCCAGGGCTGGTGGCTCAAGCTGCGCATTGGGGCACAGTGACCAGAGTCAGTGACCTTCCCCATGAGGGTTACCCGACCCCTCCAGGAGGCTGGGTCAAACAAGGTCTTGCAGCTCCTTATGGGGGCACTCATTTCAGTGGGGAGAGGGGCTTCCCCAGGGCTTGAGGCTCCCCTGAGCCCTCCCAAGTCAGGCCCGGTCTGTCCGTGAGGCTGGGCTTGAGCCCTGGCCTCTGCCCTGGGATGACCCCTCTTGGGCAGAGGGTTTTGCTTGTGTGTCCTGTGGGGACCCCCCTGTGGGCGGAGCCTCCTGTGGGCTGTGGGTGAGCCGGACCCCCGGGCTGGGGAAGCAGGGCACTGCAGGGCAAGGAGGGTCCCTGAACCAGGGTCTCCCTGTGCCTCCTTACCCCAATATTCAGCATCCAGAGAAGCCAGCTGAATGAGGAACACTGTGCACACTGACCTTCCTTGTCCTGATGGGAGGAACCAGAGGTGCTCAGGGCCTCCTGGGCTGCCCTAAAAGCCTCCCACTTCCAGGGGCCTCTGAAGATCCTTCCCCAAGTGCAGAACACTGGGTGGTGTCCCGGGCTCCCCCCAATATCTTCACCTTCCGGCACTCCCGGTGGACATGCTGCCCTTAGCCCTGCTCTGTGGGATCTGGGCCCCTATCCCTGTGCCTCTGTCTCCTCCAGGGAAGGAAAGCAAACCAACTCCCAGCCCATGGAGAACCCGACGTCCCAGGTCAGATCCTGGCTGGGACTCAGCCAGTCACCAGCCCCACGAGGGGCTCCAGCCCCCGTTCCTCCAGCCCCACAGGAGGCAGGGCCTCTGGGGAAGAGCCGAGCGGACCATAAACTCACCAGATGCCACATGGTCTTGGCTTGTGATGTGGGGACCACATGCTCCTGATGGTCTTGGAGCCCCTGGACTGTCCCGCCATTTGGGCTGTGGAATCCTGAGAAGCCTCCAGCCCATCATGAAATCAGAGCCTTCTCCCAAGATGTGGAGCCATGAGCTGGAAGAGATGGGCAGCCACAGAGCCCCCCAAACCCCGAGGCCTCCCACCCTCCCATCTGGTGACCCTACCATGTGGCCTTGGCCCTGGAGAGAAGAGGTGGGAACATCCCCTGGAGCCTGGCTGGAGGTGCTCCTGGAGGCCTCCTGGACCAGGGTGCACAAAGGGCAAGCCTGACTTTGAGGCCATGACAGAGGCCGACCAGAACAGGGTGGGTGCTGGGCTTCGTGGTCACCTCCTGGAAGTGGCGTTGGGCCAGGGGACATGGGATGGGGAGATGCTGCCATCTGGGCTTGGTTGGCCCATTTGTGGGTACCAAGGGAAGTTGGAGCCTGGGCAGCTGAAGGGCAGAAGGACTCTCAGGGAGGGGAGAGCCAGCTTCACAGAATCAGAGCTGGTGGGCGTGGCTCCAGGACACAGAGGGTGGCCACAGGAAGGATGAGATGCCCTCTGCTGATGGGGATGAAACGTGTCTAACTTGGGCTCTGGAGCTCAGCCCTGGGCTCCTGAGGACCCTCAGCAGAGACATCCTAAAGGCACCCAACAAGCTGGTAACACAAGGAAGGTGTCTTCGCTGAAAGCCGAGATCACCTGGCCAGGTTGGCTGTCCCGGGGTCTGACTGTGTGAGGCAGATACATCCTAAAGGCTCCCAAAAAGCTGGTGACACAAGGAAGGTGTCTTCACTGAAAGCCGAGATCACCTGGCCAGGGTGGCCATTCCCGGGTCTGACTGCGTGAGGCCCCGGGGGCAGCTGTCCACCTACCCTGCAGGGAGTGCCTCTCACTGGCCAGCAGCTGCACCAGTGCCCAGAATGCGTCCTCAGGCAGATAAAGGAGGAACAAGGCAGCGACATGGCTCAGGTCCCTGCAGTAGCCCACCTCCTGCAAGAGCCAGTCACTGTGGAAGGACATCACCTGGGAGGGCTGAGGTCACCTGGGAGGACTCATGTCATTGGAGAGGGCAGAGGTGACTGGGGAGGCTTCCTCTGAAGAAGAGGCTTCCTCAGGATGCAAATTCATTTTATGACAAGAGCTATGTCCATCGGGCCTTTCAGCACCTTGTCCAAAATGTCTCCTGATGGCACCGGCCTGCGTGTGATGCTGCCAGGCTCCTGGGCTTTGGGGCAGTCCCAGGAGGAGGGCGTCATTTCTTGTTCCAAGAAGTGGTGGTCAGGCCCAGGTGACACCAGGAGTCCATGCCCGACTCCTTTGTGTCTCAGTGTGACCCCTTGAGACCACCCCCTTGCTTGGAGGTTTATGCCAGCGGTGAGCTGAAGTCCTACCTCCTATATCCCCGGGGGTCACAAATACTAACTTTAAAAGAAGCAATGACACCCCCACCAGACATCCACACCCAGGAATATGGAAATATGGTCTGGGAATATAGCCGTGAATTTGGGAATATGGTCACTGCCGGGAATACTCACCGGGTTATACTCTGAATATGCCAGGAGGATGTAGAATAGTTCCCACTGCCTAAAAAACAGATAAAGGGGACTTTTGTCTCTTTTGTGCAGATGTTAGTTTCACTTTGTCTACAAAGCCTAACAACAAATCCAATTTCAGATTCAGGTGATTCACCAGATAAACAGTGAGCTCTTCAGGGCCTTTGACTATTTAAGAAATGTTTCAGTAAAATCCACATCTGTGAAATGCTAATAGTCCAATTGTACAGTAAGTTGATCATTTTCCCTCTGATTTTTTTTTTTTTTTGGTTTGTATGCACACCAGTTCAGTCTTTGGGTGTACAGTTCCTCCGTGGTTCTAAACCAATGTGCAGAGTCTCCCGGCCACCGCTCCAGCCTCTCCTGGAGCGACTCCTTCATCCCTCAAGTCTCCAGGGTGGCCCCTATGCACCCGGCCTCTCCCCAGTCCATCAGCCCCTGGCCACTCAGACCGGTTCTCAGTCCCTATGGTTTGACCTTTTCCAGAATGGCCGATTCCAGTTTGGAATCCTACAGTAGTGGTAGCTTATTGGGTCTGGCTTCTTTCCCTTAGCAAAATGTATCTAGGATTCACCCATGTTCGTGCAGGCATCGCTGGCTCATTCCCTTTTCTCACTGAGTCTTCTACTGTTGAAAGGAGGACCAGCCTTCCTCTCCACATTCCCATGTTGAAGGTTGTTCCCTAAGGCTCTGTGTATGAGTGATGATGAATCAAGCAGTGGATGTGGCATGAAGGTTTCCTGTGGATGTCAAATCAGTGGGTTCAATATCTGTGACACTTTGGGGACGCTTGGTTCAAGTCCATTGAGCTTTGTGAGCCACTGCCCAACTGGCTGCCAAAGTGGCTGCCATGTCATGTTCCCAGCAGACCTGGATGAGAGTTTCCAGGAACCTGAATTCCCCCAGCATTTGGTGCTGTCAGTGTTGCCTGGGGAGGCTCATGGGGCCTCCATCCTGCCACCCTCCCGTGGGTCCTGCCATGGGTCCCCGTGGGTCAGGGAGAGCACCTTTCACCATTGTGCATGATTTTCTTTGCTGCCTTCTGTCTCTGCAGGATTCCCCTGGGTTCTGGGTCCACACGTTCCAGCCTGGCCTGGGGCTTGGAACCTGGGAGGTGCTCCATCCATGGTGCCGGCTGTTCCCTGGGCCATGAGAGACCTTGAGAGCTCTGTCATCCCTCATGGGTGACCCTGGCTTCTGCTCCGGGGAAGTCCCCATCCCTCTGGTTCACTCCGTCTCTGCTGGGACACTATGGCTCCCGTAGGCTTACTTGGTTCCATATCGATCCCTGAAGAAGATGTGGTTTCTTAGTGTCCAGTTCACGTCTAGGTCGATCTGGTGGATGTGTTCAGAGGATCTCTTGCCCTTCTCCTTCATGACCTGTAGGGCAGGGCCAAGAGGAGGAAACAGTCTCAGAACAGATGGAAGACTCCCTGCCCCAAATGACAGTCAGCCCACAGTCAGCACTTTTGGAAGGAAGGAAGGGAAGAAAGGTTTCTTTCTGCAGAAAGCTGCTTTTTGGCTTGTTTCTGAAGCTGGGGAGGTCTGTGGTTCCTATGTCACTGTCCATGCTTAGGATGAGCATCTGACCACAGCACCCACTCCCCAAGCCTGGGCATGACGTTCCCTGCAGTTGGAGAACTGGGTCCTGACCCAGCCTGGCCTGTTTGTTGTGCTCTGGCTTAGTGTACCTTGTATTTTAGGGGGTTTTCGTCTTGACTTCCTGGATGTTCAGGAGGACTGACCACACTTGGCCCCAGACATTCATGGGAATGCCCTTATACACTCGATCAATCAGCTGTGGGCAGAAAGTGATCTGGTGTCACAGGCCATGGGGCGACCCCAGCCAGGACCAAAGCCTGAGGATCCTGGAAATCTTTGGTTTTGGCCCCATGATTCCTCGGTAGAGATGAAATCAAGCTGGGACAGGGTCTCCCTTCCCAGGATTGGAAGAGTAGATGGGCACTCAGAGTCCTGAACTCTGATGTGGACCTTTTCCTTCTTTTGGGTCACCAGGAGGCATCCATAGCCCTGAGCTAGGGGTGGCCCTAGCTCTAGATTCAGATTCCCTCTCAGCAAGGTGACACTTGCACAAGCAGGCCTGTGGTACTCTGGGTGAAGACACCCGCCCTCTGAGAGGCTACAGGTGCCAGGCCACAGCCATGGGTGCCTGTCCCTGTCTCTGCAGAGAGTGGTTCCAGGGACCTGTCCCTCCACACATTACTTTTTTGCTGTTCTGATATGTCTCCCATTCTCCCAGCATTTCCATCCACTTGCTCTTTCATCTCATCTCCCACTGCATTCGCTGTCAAATGAGGAATGTTGGAGTTAGCGGAGCTGCCAGGCTTCCCAGAGCCACCTGTGGATGCTGGATCTTGGGCTCTGGAGCCCTGGTGGGACCCAGCTGGAGGGAGCCAGGGAAGGGCAGACCCTAAGGGCTGAGGGCCTTTGAGCACACGAGTGCCAGTGGGCTGGCTTTGGGACCCTGGGATGTGCCATCCTCAGGCCACAGACACACCAGTCTTAGGTCAGGTCCCAGCCTCTAGGTGGGGTCCTAACACAAGTGGGCAGCCACCCCCAAGCCACAACTGTGGTTCTCACTTTGGAATTTCATCAAACTGCCAGAGATACAGCAAACTGGGGTCAGGTCCAGCAGGGACAGCTGCCCCTCCCAGTGACAGCGTGTTGCCCCCACCTGCTACCACCCAGGCCCGCTGCTTCCTCTGCCTCACTGACCACTTGCCGAGTCCCCCTGTCCCTGGACCAGCACCCCCAGGGATCAGGCTCTTACCTTTGCCTCCCGGGCACTGACAGGGCAGTTCCGTCTCAATGTATTGCTGTCCAGGCAGAGCTGAGAACCTGCACAGGGCCTGGAGCCATCCTGGTCTGGGAGCCAATCCCCAGAAAGGACTGGCTCTGTCCCCATCCAACTCAGGGCTCAGCCCAGGAGAAGGCGCAGGGAAGGGAGGACAAGGACCTTTCTGTGTGGCTGACTCCCAGGAGGGTCCAGGACCTGGGAAAAGAGGGAGTGCAGGGCCAGCCTGGCCAAGGTTAATGGGGGCCCCTGGTGTGGGGGGCGGTCAGGGTGTAAAATGGGGGCTACCCCTCCTGGACTGGAAGTAATGCTTTGTGCTTGAGCTGAGAAAGGTCAGCCCTGAGATGGGATGGGGTGACTGGGCCCTGACAGGAGTCCCTCTGGGAGTGACCACGTGATGTGGACCTACCGGGGTCTAGGGAGCCTGGCCTGTGACCTGCCCGGTGCACCCAGGTTGCACCGAGGGCCCATCCCACCTGACACTCCCAAGGCCCTTGCAGGGTTTGACCTCCCAGCATCCACCTGCCTCTCCCTGCACCCAAGCCACACACACTGCGTTTCAGAAGTGGCATGGCTCATCAGCTCCCTCCCACCCTACCTTTCGCGGGATCCTCCGTCTTTCCATTCTATGATCCCTGAGGGATGGGCTTCAGCCTGGGCTCCTCTTACCTGGCCCCAGATCCCTTCCCAGCACCAGACCCAGGGTCATTAGCCTCAAGATCTGCTGCCTCCCTGGCCTCACTGTGAGATGCCCAGAACGAGGGCCCTGCCCATCTTCTCCCCCATTCCCCTAAGGCCACAGCCCCCACTGTCCCCATGCCATTCCCCCTTCCCCATGGGGACAGTGAGGGCTGTAGCTCTAGGGAAATGGGGGAGAACAGGGGCAGGTGGGCCCTCAGAGACCAGAGACCTGCTGGACAATAGCCCCGAGGCTGGGCCAGGCGTCCCCTCACCTTGTGGCCACAACCCTTGGATCTTACTGGTGTTGCCTCCAAGTGGACAGGGCCAGACCCTCAGGCTGCCCCGCTCCTCTTGTGCTGACTTGGGGCAGAACTGCTGAGAGTCCAGGGGCCTGACCTAGCCCCCTCTCCATTCCCACTTGCTCCCTAGATGGGCCCCGCACCTCTGGCCTAACAGCAACCTTGGGCTGGACCTGCAGGGGAGCCAGTTCTGACCCTGGAAAGGAGGTTGGCCCGACCTGGTGAGACGTGTCCTGACTCGGAAAGTCCTTTCTAAAAGCAAACCCATCCCTGAGCTGAGACAGGTGCTTTAGGGGTGAGGGGAGCACAGAGGACTCACTGCACAATCCTAAAGCGATCAGTGCTGCAGGAATTCCAACAGGCTCAGGCCCCATGTCCTCTGGCAGCCCAGTTCGGTGTCCCTGCAACCCAGAGGGAGCCTTGGTGAGGGGTTCAAGGTAAAGGGTGAAAGGGCCTGTGGGTACTGGCCACTCGTCCCCACCCTGTGCTCCTAGGGAGCCCAGGACCCTTTGACCAGGGCGCTCTGGAAGAGGCCTTCCTCCAAGGAGCAGACAGACATGTACCTTCTCATACTTCATAATGATGTCCTCTCACTCCTGCAAAGTATCTGCATCCTCTGCCATGTCCATCCTGTGAGACAAAATCGTCTAAATGTTACACTGTATGTGAGACCTCCAGAGAACACCTGAACCGCTTCCACCCGGCTCCCAGATGCTGCCTGGCTGCGTAACCCCCCATTCCACCACTGCCCTCAGGTGAAAAGGGGCCAGACCTTTTACCCAGTGGCCCACACCTGCATGGGTCTCTGCAGTCTCAAGCCCCAAGCAGGGGTGGGCATCTTGAGAACAGTGGGACCTGGACAGAGAATCCTGTTGTCCCCAAATGCCATGAAACGGGTACACACCTGCCCTGGCAGATTGAATGGTGTCCACCTGCCAAGGTTGAAGGGCCCATGAGGGGCTATTCCAGGGATGTGGAGGCAGACTGGGGACAGGGACCAGAGGTCTCTGTACAATTGACCTCCTGGGATGCTCAGGGACCACAGAGATGCCCAGTTTCCTGCAGGGAACAAGATCTCTCCTGACTGCTCGGTTCTACTCCACTCATCACTTGGGCTATCGTGGCCCTTCAGTCTCACCAGTGAAGCCACTTTAGAAACAACACCAGTTGAGCAGGAGGGTGTTTGGTTTGGGGGATGAAAATAATATATTATCTCCAAAGCAGCCTCTGTGCTCATGGAAGCCACATCTCTTAGGGAGGGACTGTGGACTCCACCACTCTGAGCTGTCCCTACAAGAGGGGCTTCATTTTCCTGGGTCACTGAGGAAGGACAGTGGGTCCTTGGTCCTGGAGAACACCTGGATGGACCGTCCCTCCAGGGAACACTCGGGACAAAAGGAGGGTGAGGCTCCAGAGGACCAGAGAAAGAAATACTTGGGGAGAACCCCAGAACCTGGACCCCTTTGAACAGAAGGGAGGATAGTCTCCCTCCAGTCAGTTCTCCAGGGCTCCTTCATTTTCCACAGCTGCTCAAAGGCAGAAGGCTCCCCATCCCACTCCCGGACAAGGGACCGTGTGTGCCCAGTGGGTCCCACAGGGACCATCAGGACCCAGCTTAGGCCACAGACGTGTTCTGAGGACCCTCCCCTCTACCTCACCCACAGTGGATCCATCCCAGTGGCTCTGCCAGGGCGAGGCTCTGCCCCATCGGGATCAGAAACCCCGGACAGATTTCGGATCTAGGGCAGGGGGGCTGCAGGGTTCAGGCCTGAAGTCCAGCATGGCACAGGGCAGGGCCAAGAGCAAAACCCAGAGTCATGTCGGGATTCCCAGGCTGGTTACCGCCTCTCTGACCCCAGACGTCTCGTCTTTCTAATGGTTACATCTGGGAGCCACCATGAGGACGAAAGAGACAATTGTCTACATGGGCAGCATAGAACAGACACCTGGTGAGTGCTCAGGGATGACCCTCCTTGGCAGGTGCCCAGAGGCCAGCACCACCCACACCATAGCCACTGTCCCCAAGTCAGCATGGAGGGAAGAGAGCAGGTCACACTCACCTGATTCTGATGAATCAGCTGGCCTGTGTTATGCCTCTCAGGGAGAAAACCTTTGAGTCCACAGAGCTGCTCCAGATACCACTGTGTGTGTGTAGCTGCTGTAGAACACAGAGGCAGGCCAGAGATTGGACGGGTGTTAAGCACCAGTGACATTCTGAGGTAAAGGCACGCATCACAATGGGGCCTTGCCCAGGTCAGCAGGGCCCAGAGTCAGCATCCTCCACTGCCTGAGGCATCATCATGCTTGCGTGCCATGTGTTTGCGCACGTGTGTACACACGTGTATGTAGGTAAACATGTCTGTGCATGCGTCTGTCGCTTCTCTGGCCAGGCCTGGCTGCCTCACTCATGTGTGCACCCCGTTCCTTGTCACTGTCACCCCTGGGGCTCAGGGCCAGCATGAGAGCATCCATGGGTGCTCCCTGACCTCAGCCCTCCCCGCCCAGGGTGGTCCTGGGATACACATAGGGGTGGAGGGAAGTGACTGCTGCTGTTGAATCTCAGAATAAATATGCTAATAGTATTACCTAATGATCTTTTTAGTATCTCTAATGGCCTTTTTAGTATCTCTAATGGTCTTTTTAGTATCTCTAATGGTATCTCTTTTTTTATTTCTGATATTTTAACTGGGTATTTCTCTCCATGACCCTTGGTTATTCCAGCTAGAGGATCCTGTGGGGAAAGTGCCCGGCACATAGTAGGGGCTCACTTTTCTAGACATGTTATCTAAAATCTGGTTCAACTGTCCTTCCACCCAAGGCATCCTAGGGGATGCCAAATTCCAGGGGCCAGAAAGAGCTTGGGATAAAAAGACATTCAAGGGGAGGGCTTTGACCTGGGCTGAGCCTGCCTGTGCCATCCAAACCTGGAGCCTCAAGTCCTGAGCTAGGGCATCCAGATGACCCAATACAGGGCCCTCCTGATTGACACTTACTCCCTTGTACTCATTAGCAACCTCACCCATCCCGCTTTCAAAGCATACTTGGCCCTCATATCTGAGAACTCTGCCTCTGTGGATTCAGCCAACAGCAGATGGAAAATATTCAGAAAGGAAATTGGATGACTGTGTCTCTACTGAATATGTGCAGACTTTGTTCTTGTCATCATTCCCTAAGTAATACAGTATCACAACCATTTACATAGCGTCTGCGTTGTATTGTGTATCATAAGTAATCTAGAGATGGTCTAATGTATATGGGAGGATGTGCATAGGTTATATATAAACACTAGGCCGTGTTAGGCTGGGTGTGGTGGCTTACACCTGTAATCCCAGCACTTTGGGAGGCCGAGGCAGGCGGATCACCTGAGGTCAGTAGTTAGGGACCAGCCTGACCAACATGGAGAAACCCTGTCTCTACTAAAAATACAAAATTAGTTGGGAGTGGTGGCACATACCTGTAATCCCAGCTACTCGGGAGGCTGAGGCAAGAGAATTGCTTGAACCCAGGAGGCGAAGGTTGCAGTGAGCCAAGATTGCACCATTGCACTCCAGCCTGGGCAACAAGGGTGAAACTCTATCTCAAAAAATAAAAATAAAAAACACTTGGCCATGTTATATCAGAGACTTGAGCATCCATGGATTTTGGCATCCCCGGGGATCCTAGAACTAATCCTCCGTGGATACCAAGGGGTGACTGTATAAACTTACTCAGGGAGGCTTCTCATTGGAGGAAGGGCCCAGTTCAGGACAGACAAGGACATCATCCCTGGACTACTGTCCATTCATCCATCCATTCATCCATTGCCCCACCGCCCCACCCCCCGCCCCAGGACTGTCCCAGTGACAGCCCTAGCAAGTGGAGACAAGAAAAAAGACTGGCTCACGTTGTCCAGCTTTGAGGTCTTGGAAGAAGTTGCACCAGTATGAGGATAGGGGGTAAGTTTCCTCCAGGATCCATAGAGCATATCAGGCATCCTCTGGTTGAGGAAAGGAGCCTGGTCTCTCCAGCAGCCACACAGGCCTGCAGTAGGATGGGACTGGGACTGGCCATGTGGATCATTTGGGCCTAATGAGGGGGAAAGAAAGACTAGGGGGCAGAGGAGGAGCATCGGGGCAGTTGGTGGCCTTAGGAAGGCATTTCAGGGAAGGGGTCTGGATTAATTTGTTTTCACACTGCTATAAAGAAATACCTGAGACTGGGTAATTTACAAAGGAAAGAGACTTAATTGACTCGTAGTTCAGGAAACTTATAATCATGGCAGAAGGCAAAGGAGAAGCAGGCACCTTCTTCACAAGGCAGCAGGAGGGAGTGAGTGGAGAACAAGGAAGTGCCAAACTTTGAAACCATCAGCTCTCTTGAGAACTCCCTCACTATCAGGGGAGCAGCACGGGGGAAACTGTCCCCAGATCCAATCCCCTCCCACCAGGTTCCTCCCTTGACCCACGAGGATTACAATTCCAGATGAGATTTGGGTGGGGACGTAGAGCCAAACCTATCATGGTCTCCTCAGTCTGTCTTGCAGCTCCCCGGGGCTGAGGCCGAGTGCAGATCTGCTGGTCATGCTCTACAGCACCAGGGGCTCTGTCTGTGCGCCCCCATCTGCTGCTTCCTGGGGGTAGTGGCTGCTTCCTCAAGAGGAGGGTGAACCTGCTGTCCTGCCAGTATCCCACTCCCCCAACTCCAGGGCCTTGTGGAGCCCTGGCCACGTCCTCCCAGGCTTGAGGGCATAAAACCAGGCTCCTTGCTCTTCTTGCTGCTTAGGTGACAAGCCCCCAGTCATCCCTAGGTCCCGCCACTGCCCCTGCTTCTAAATAAAGAGTGTTTTGCCAAATCTTCCTGGAAGAAGCTGGGGTATCATCCCTGTTATCTGTTCTATCTTGCTAACGCCAGGTTAAGATATCTGGACAAGCAGGCAATAGAGTGATTCATTGCAATTTAACAAGTATTTGTGTTCCTCTTGTGTGCCATACAATTTGCTTAGGTACTGTGAGTGCAAAGATGAAACAGATATGTTTACTATTCTTATGGAGGCTCAGTCTAGTCACTGTGTTTTTTAAACAGAATAGAACATATCAGAGTGGGACACTGTAAGGGTAACAATGATTTAATGAAGTTATTTCACATACTGTGTGTGTTTATACATATACAAAATGTTTCTTATTGCAGGTCTCGTTCCAAAAAATTTGACAGCCATTACTCTAGTGCAGCCGTTTTCAATTGAGGTGATTTTGTCCTTCAGAGGACATTTGACAATCTCTGGAGATATTTTTGATTGTCACAACTTGGAAGGTGCTACTGGCATCTAGTGGGTGGAGACTGAGGTGCTGCTAACCCTTCTACTATGCACAGGACAGTCGCCACAGCAAAGAATGGTTCTGTCCAAACTATCATAGCGCTGCTGTTGAAAAACTGATTCCAGTGGAAGAGACAGGCACGTAAACACATGAAAGAGAACAGGGAAGGGAATTACAGGGCAGGTGGAAAGTGAGCTTGCTAGGGAAGGGGCAAGGTGGGGGAACCACAGTTACTGACTTGCCAGCTCTACTGGGCACTGTTCTGAATGGGGAAATAGTTTTATCATATGTATTTGTGCAAGGTATTATATGAAATCTTTAAAATGGCACTGGAAGGGGTAGGTATTATCCCAACCTATAAATGCACAAGTTGGGGTTTTGAGTGTTTAAGTAACATATCTGAGGTCACATAGAAAGTTGTGAGCTGCACTCGTAGGTGGGAATTGAACAATGAGAACACTTGGACACAGGAAGGGGAACATCACACACAGGGCCTGTCGTTGGGTGGGGGAGTGGGGAAGGATAGCATTAGGAGATATACTTAATGTAAATGACGAGTTAATGGGTGCAGCACACCAATATGGCACATGTATATATATGTAACAAACCTGCACGTTGTGCACATGTGCCCTAGAACTTAAAGTATAAGAAAGAAGGAAGGAAAGAAAGAGAGAGAGAAAGAAAGAGGCAGAGAAAGAAAGAAAGGAAGGAAGGGAGGGAGGGAGGGAGGAAGGAAGGAAGGAAGGAAGGAAGGAAGGAAGGAAGGAA